TTTCACTCGAAAAGATCCAAAATAAAAAACCTGCAATGCAGGGACTGACTGAATTAGAAATAAAAGGTGCTGTTCAAGTAAAACAGATTACGGCACCATTAGCTATTAGCGGTGCTAAAAATAGCGACTTTCTGAATTTAGCTGGACGTTAAAAACGAAATTATGTAGAATTTGTCACAACAACTTTGTCCGACAAAATAATATTATTGAAGGTGTTTGGTCCATGTGAGCAAGAGGATTTCACTCGAAAAGATCCATAAAAAACCTGCAATTCTGCTTATATTCAGCTTATTTTTTTTACATTAGTTGAATGAGAAATTACATGGCATGAAAGGTCTAAAATAAACCACTTCTGAATAGACCAAGTGAACGATGCACAAATCTGCGTGTAAAAATCTGATTAGCTGCAAAATTTATTTTTTAATAAAGTGAACAATCTCCTCATTATTTTGATTTGGAAGGGGGAGACAGTTTCCTTGGTCCACCTTTTTTTCGCGAGTTCTGACCTCACAAAACAATTACCATGCCTTCCAGTGTGCTATGAATTCAAATCTAGTTCATTAGTTATTCGCATTCATGAAAAAAAAACATTTCGAAAAGTATTCTGTGCAGAGAAGAAAACCACAGCGATGACCATTTTCAATAAAAAAAATTCTGTGAAATTTATTTTAGATATAATCATCTAATTCTTCATTGCAAGTATAGAAAATAGAACCATAGTCTACAATAGAAAATAGCCAAAAGTTCGAAACATAGCCAACAGGCGGCATGGCGACGACTCGTAGCAAGCGACAATTAGTAGCGGTAAAAACTTTGATCACATCAAAATAAAAATAGGACGAAAAGGTTAAATAAAAGAATAAAGAAACTAAAAATCAAAACTGAATGAGGGGCCCTTAAGTTGGTTGAGAATAATATTGTTACTATAATGTTTTAGAAATTCAACTAATCTGGTTTGGCTTGCTTCGTATTTAGCCACCTTGGCGGCACTTTCTCCGGCAATTATTTTAGTCATTTTGTTCTCCGACAGACTTTGTTCTTTTCTAAGGAATTGTACAAAATTGATAATGGTCGGGCGAGCACACCCCATCCTAATCTGGAAGGCCCTTTTCTATCCCTCCGCCGAAATGTTGGTTTTCTGTCTCCCATTTTTGGCGTTTTCGAACTGGTTCCAGAGTGAATTAGGGAAATGCTTCACCCCTCTTGCTTATCTTGCTTGACCCCTCTGGCTTAACCCCTCTTCCAACCCAAGTTGATTCAAAATATTCGACGTAATCAAATAAGGGGGACTCGTCACTTTCGTTGGAATTTTCAGAGCACAAAGCTATCATGTCGATTTCAAAATCGAGCTCAAGTATCAGTGCCAAAGCAACGAATGACTTTAGAAGCATGCATATATTTTCATCTTCTCAATACACTCGTGCTAATCAAAAATTTTGCGTTAATTGGCGTGAGCGAAATGAAAAAAGCATCCTTTTATAGTCACTCCGTTGAATACATTCTTAAAAGCGTTAAGTGAAGCCTTCTCAGAATCTACTACAATCTGTGAGGGCTGAAGTCCTGACTTCATTTCTTTCAATTGTCTAAAGGCTCAAATGTATTGCTCTCCACTTTTGTTTTGAAGAAGAAAGAAACACAACATGAATTAGAAAAATTTGATGAAATAACGCGGGGCATGCTTTAAATGTCCCATCTGCATGCAAGACTATGTTGCTTTCCAAAGTTTCTAAGTTCTCATCGGTGGAAAATATTAACATTCGGTCTTTGTAACATTCGGACCTCGATTGAAAAAGGAGGAAATTATCCCCCCCCCCTCAGGGTCTTGCTCAACTCCGAAGGCACAGCAATGTCTTTGATTGCAAGTGGGCGGAATCAGTTGCTCGTTGACACTGAACGGTTCCGGCGAGTGACTTGTACTTAGGTCAGTTAATAACCGTCTTGAAGCTACAAACCCCAGCGTTTTCCACGTAAATGATCCTCGGAGGATCTAATATTATTTTTCCTTTCTGTTTGATAGCATATTTAATCCTGAAATCTTAGTTTTATAACAGGCCTAGAAAAAAATTATGACCCGCCCATAAAATACCAGCAGTCTTTAAAAAATCAACCTGTTTGAGGTATTATATTTTTTTCCACTGGGTGTTGCCAATTTCTCCCCCAAAAAAATGCAGGCCTTGCAGTCATGCTAAATTGAACATTTTAAAATAAAATAAATTGAGAGACAATGCCAAAAACTTTGCTTCCTCGCATGAAATTTTTGCGACACCATGTTCTCCAGATGTGCTGACTATTTCATCTACCATGGTGGGAACAGAAGCTTCACACGGTCTCTTCACTCATCGCCAGCTGTATTAATCAGTTTAATCGTTGTGGCGGTTCAAATTGAAAGATTCCTCGTCGTGAACAAGTTGCTGTTTTCCTAGCTCGCTCATGAGAAGTTTTAAATGCATCTTGGTATCAGTCAGTGTAATGATTTGCAAGAAGAAATTCAAACGACTGAATCGAAACAAAGCTGTTTTAGATGCTACTAACGTTTAATTATTCAAATATTTACTGTTAATTCATTTCAATTTGACATTTAATTCAACTGGCGCTAAACTAAATGTTGATCGCTCGTTGGATTTTAATCCCCCACAAACACCGCAAAACACTTTGCAATTCGCATTGTTTTTTTTAATCCCCCAATCAGAAACTAATCGTGCTGCTAATTGTCGCTTGCTACGATTTGACGCTTGGTGCCAATTGTCGGCTTTTAAAAATGCGGCGAATTGTGACCTCACGCAACAGTTCTTTGGAAAAGCTGAGTACTGAGTAAAGAATGCGTACAAGTAAACTGAAAAAAAAACTAATTTCACTAACCATTTGAAAAATGGGGAGGAACTGTGCTCGGGTGTTTTAGTTTTTTTTCGACGCAAAATCAACTACCACAAATAATCATCAGAGAGAGTTGAGAGATATATCCTATCAAAGCACTTTCAATGGCAATTCCGACGACATTAAAAAAAAATTTCCAGTGCCAAGAAAAATCGTTTTTTTTTTGTCTTAATTTAAACAAATAAAGCGAATAAATTTCGTATTATTTTAATGACTTAAAAGTTTACAGAAGCTTAATTTAAGCAGTTAAAAAAAGGTTATTTTCCAACAAATAAATTTGTTTTTGAAAATTTTAGCGCTTTTCTTGAATCAGAAACTTCAAAATTTCAAAAAAAATGTGAATACGAATTGAAACTTTTTTGAAATTCGTCTGAACATTTTTCTATAAAAACTGTTTTCCAAGTTGCTTATTTATTAATGACTGTTGAATATGCTTAAGCTCTATTTTTTGTTCAGATCCTTGTATCATATCACGCCGAGAAACGACACTAAGTTGAAAAAAAAACAAGGATAGCCGATTACTAACCAGTAACCGTCAATCCTTGTTTATTTATGAAAAAATCTTACCTTTCAATTTCAACGAAAAATTTGATGACCTTAAAGCCCTTCGAGTTTTAGAACAATTTATGTATGATACTTTTTCATAATATCAACGCAATTTGAGAAAACTGGGTATATAGGTAAAATCTTTATTCCACTGGGAAATCTGAAAAATTAAATGCTTGCTCGAAGGTGGAAGTCAAGCGCATATACGTTTTTGTAATCTTTACACTTTTCTGTTCGATAGCAGAGTTAGCCTCCCATGAAAAAGGAAACAAACTCATAACTTCAAAAAAATCAGAAGTCAAACCGCGACTTTTCCTGAAAAAAAACAAAATCACCGCGACCTATATAAGAGATTTCACTACGTTCATCGACTATTAAAAAATGGTTACAGCTGTCAAAAATTTCTGTGCTACCTGCTCAGTAACCAGCTACTTTTTTAGAGATAGCATTAGTTAGCAAAAAATGCAGGTCAGAAGTTTCAAGGTTATGCCTTGATGCGCGCATCGTCATCAGTTATTACAATTCTTCTGAATTATTTGATGATGAAAGGGTTCAAGCAATCTTGACGATAACCTAATTCACCAGATAAGCAACTCACTTTTACCAAGATTTATAGTTTTATGAAGCAATGGCCACAAGAAAATCATAAAAAATAGCAGTAAAACACGATCTTCTTAACTTAGTTAGCGGACGCATCGGTAGGTTTATAATTTAAGTACTTTATTGCTATCGGCGGTGTTGTCGATTTTTAATCTTAACTTCATTTACTTAAAAACAATCGCTCATCTCAAGGTAATCAAAATTTCCATGCCTTCTGAAGTGTGTATTTCCTAAATCAAGCAGCCTAAAGGAGGCAGAAGAATAGTGCCGAATCACCACAGCGCAGAAAAAAACGTTGTTCAACAGCGCCGAAAATCATAAAATATTCAGTTTCTGCACTGTTGTACTTCGGCGCAGTTGAACCCCACTGCACCCCCCCCCTCCCCCCACAAAAACGGAAGAATAGAATGAGGTTTTATATTAGAGCCCTCGGTCTTGATTCGAACGGTATGAAAAACTTCTAAGTTTTCAAAAGTCGAGATGAAAAACAGTTAACAAGTTTCAGCTTATATTGACAGGCGGCGATAAATCGATTGAAAACTTACGATTTATCCATTTGGACAGGTGAAGCGACAAGCCTTATTCCTAATTTAAGATATGAGTAGCTATTTCTTGCAGCTGAACTTCACTGCTCCTCAAAAATTTTGAAAATAAGGAAAAGGATCTACTGGTATGGTTGAACCATTCTGTATTAATTGCACTCTAACACTCTTCTTTGGGTCATTTCTGCTGCTATAGGGCCCAAAAATAGAAAACCATTTAAAAAAATATCTTGTCTGCTTTTGAATAAATTCACCCAATCAGATACGAGATAAATGATGCAAATTTAAGAATAGGAAAAAGTTCCACACACCTTGGGCGTTTGGAGCATAAACACAATTTTGGGTCCTATTGACAAAAGAGTCTTAGTTTTCTATAATTCTTAACAACTTTTTTGACAGTATCATAGGTGAATAACATTTTAATTTTATGGTTTTTCTGCTATCGCTTCATTAGCTTAAAACTGACAATTTGTCAAATTTGAATTTAGATATCATTCTAGAGCAAATTTACAGACTGAATGAGCATCTAAGCAACAACCGGGTAGCTAAAATTCGAAGTTGAAAAACGACAAGCGTAATCTCATTATTCATTACTCTTTTCCGCTTTCCCTCTCATATCTATTGAGAATGTGATAATACCAATTTCTTCATTCAGCACGACCTGTATACATTTTTTCTTTTCATATAAATTGATCATTAGTGCTATCTAGTTTTCAATCTGTTCCCCTCATAATAGAAAAAAGCGGCCAAAAGTTTGTTCCGGAATATAAATCGCATAGCACTGGGCGAGGCAGCAAAAAGTATCTCATTATCTAACAGCAATCAAGAAAAATATATAAAAAATAATCATGAGTGAGGGTTGAGGGTAGCAATCAGAAAAGAGCCAGTTTTTAGTTTGCTATTGTGTTATATGCGAGTGAAGGGACAAATGAGTTCATCACTGGCGTCACTGCAGTCTGCTTGTCCATCGCACAGCCACTCCCTCGGCATGCACTGAATTCGATCTTCAAACAGTGACTCACACATCCACTCGTCAAAGCCACATTTGTCTGCATACAAACAAGACGTATATTCTCAACATTTTGGTGGTGTTTTTAAATCATTAATGGCTTCTAACTCTTAATTAAAAATTTAATTCATTAGAGACAGAAAATTATGGGCATTGACTTCAAGGAAACTAAAAAGTAACAAACTCTAGACAGAAAAAAAAGAAACAAACTTAAGACAGAAGACTTTTTTTTTGCTGAATTTGAAATATTATCCCAGTGTTTTTTGTCTTTCTTTTAGTAAATGAATTTGAAAATAAATTAGCAAGATATCAAAAGTCCAACTGCGAAAAATCAAATTTGAGCGAGAACAACTTGAGAATTTTTCATGAAAAAAACAAAAATCAACAAAACCTACACAATTGTCTTCATTACGTTCAATGAGACTTAAAATATTAATACTTTCAATTTGACAGTTAATATCAAAAAACCAATAATAACTTTCCGCTGCCTCTTTTATAGTACCCGGCAGCAAATCTCCACCTCTATCAGATGCGTGCGCAACCTTTCTGAGACGGCTTAGGAGAGGTTTTGTGGCAAAAGAGGACGCAAACAAAACGCTTTTTATACCCTTCAAAGAATGGTAAAACTTTTCTTTTAATAAAAAATCTACCGCGTTCGGGACATTATGACATTGTTGCACACTTATCTCGGCAATTCAATCATGTGCCATAAGTCGGCACACAGGCAATCCGACTATACAATCGGCTACCCTAAAATTGGCCATCCAATGCTTAAGATATTGAAAAGCAAATTATATCTGATCCGCTTTGCCATTTCGGATATTGACAAAACAGAAGAATTGTATATCTTAAACAAGGATAAGCCGGTTACTGTGCAAGTAGCACAGAATGTTCAGACTATAATTTTAGAAAACACAAAAAAGGTTTCTCTAGAACTTAGGCATATTCGACAGTCGTAATAAAATAGGCGATATGGAAAACAGTATTTACAGGGAAAATGTTCAGAAAAACGAAAAAAAATCGTTAAGAACTCAAAAAAATTCTTGAAAGAAAACTTTTGAAAGTTATTGATTCCCAAAATGGCACAACCAACCTCCAAAAACTAACTTTAATCGAGTCAAATTAAGTTTTCACGGCTTATATTAAGCATAAATAAGCTATTTAAAGCCTGCTAGTTCACCTTTTTGTGTCGATCAAAAACTCAAAAAATTCAAACAGGTTTTTCTCGACACTTAAAACATTTTTCAACATTTTTAAAGGTCATTCGAATCACGACTGAAAGGGCTTTAATATCATGTATCACTCCACCATTTCCGATGATTACTTGTGGTACCTGATTTTGCGTGGAAAACAAAGAAACAGGAATAGCCGGTTGCTGTGCAAGTAGCACAGAATGTTCTGAACACATTCGCAAAAAACTACGAAATTTTTTTTCTTATCTTCAAATTAGGGTCTTATCTTCAACATCTTGTGATTATAAAACTATACAAACGCGTAGAAAGGTAGTAAATTAGGCTAAAATTGTCTTCAAATGTAAATAAACGAAAAAAATACTCAAAAAAAAATTCTAAAATTTTTTCTAATATTTTACACTTAAAATTTGTATGAAACTTTTTATGGCCGAGAAAGCACTTCAAAAACTGTTGAAGCTTCAAAAATGGTTTTCTTTTTAGTAAACTCAATTTTTTAAGCCTAAATGGCAAATATTCATACATAACAAACGTTACTCGATCGCTTTAGACTCAAAAAAATTCTAAAGCGGTTTTTCTCAACACTGGGAAAAGTTTTAACCTTGTTCGAATCACGACTGAAAGGGTTTCAATAACTTATATCACTCGACTCATTCCGATGATTATTTGTGGTACCTGATTTTGCGTGGAAAACAAAAAAAAACACCCGAATTCAAAGTTCCTCCACATTTTCCAAATGATCGGAACAAAAAATAAAAAATTAAAACACCCGAATACAAAGTTCCTCGCTATTTTTCAAATGATCGAAACAATAACAGTAGCAGTTTACTGTGCAATTAGCACAATGCTCCGACCACAATAACGTCTAAAAAAACAGAAAAAAAGAGAAAAAATCAAGAAAAATTATCCCTGTTGTGCAACTAAACGATTTATGATTCCCATGGACAGCGAGATCGACAGAACGCTTCAAAATTGGCGCTGTTGAACAGATGGGTGCTAGTTACGGACCCTTTTGTATTACAAAAAAGGACCTGTCATTTAATTCCGCCTTGAGCCCGGACAAAAAATGCTTTCAAATCGCCGTCAACAAGATCATCTGCCGGTGCAGAAGAAACATGATGACATCAGCAAGATGAAGGCGTTGAATTTGGTCTAATTTACTTCAAGTTAAAGCTTCTCCAGGTTGGCTCTCGAAAGCAAGAGAATGGAGATCGACAGAACCCAAAACTTCTTTGTCTCCGCGTCAACAGAAATCTGTCGTTTCAGCAAAACGATGACTACGTTATCGAAAATGTTAGCAAACGCTGCTCTGCTCTGCTCTAACAAGTTTAGACTCCTCAGACTGGGGCTGAAAAAGACCTCCAAGAAACGTCTACCTCGCTACCCACGTAGGGATCATGACTTCGCCGCACTTGACTGGGAACCCTGGCTCTGTCACTCGCAGATAGACCACCTTTGAGAGAACTGTTGTCGGAAACTGTGAGATGACTACACAACAACCGGTGTCCGATTAATTCAACTCACGGTGGCAGTAGTGTGCCAAACAAGGGGTCGCCCTCCCCTTTCTGAATTCTGGTAGCCCTAAAATCTTTTTTTTTAAACTTTGTTATCGTAAAATCGCCACCTACACCGACCCAACAAAAATAATCGTTACAGATACTGGCGAACAAAGGGTGCTAAAAAATAACGACTTCTGTTTTTTCGCACAAAACAGAAACCCTTTAGGAGAGTGTTCGGAACAATAATCAGAAAAATTCACTCTCACAAGAGCTCGAGCTTGAACTTTTTTTTCAGCGGACTGATGAATTGAACAAAAAAGTAGATTTTATATCAACATCATTTACTACTTTAACGCAGAGCTATTAGCATATTTTAACGAACAATTTTGAGGCATCAGGAAAAAAATGAATTGAGTGATTTTTAATGACATTTTTAATCGAGGCACTCGAACTGATCCGATTTAGATTGCCAAGATACCATATCTGGCAAAAACATGACAATTGAGCCGCTGTAGCTAATGTAAATAAAAACTATCTAAACAGTTACTGGCGACAAAAGGATGCAAAAAAGACAAAGACTTCTTCTGTTTTGTACTTAGTCATTGCTGAAAGTAGATTGAATTAGCTGGTACTTTTTTGTACGAGAAAAGTACCAGGAGCAGGTGATTTCAAGGAGACAGAGATTGATCTCACTGAATTCTCAGCTTGCAAATCAATTCAATCTAGCTTTTCTTCAAAGCCAGTTTGTTCACGGTTTACTGAATAAGCAACAAATTCTCATTTTACCGACTGATTCATTGTCTCATCGATGAAAAATATAATGAAGTACACTTCTGGGCAAAATTTAAGGAAATAGGTAGTCCATCAACGTCTCTGTCTGACGGATGGCTTAGAAACTATATGATAATTTATTAGAAACAGTTTTACGATATTTTTGGTCGCCGATTTTTGGCTGAGAAAAAAGTAATGATCGAAAAGCAAAATTTCATAGTTCAAGTTCTATTATAAATTGCTTCTTCTCGGTATACTCAATGAAAGCTTCATTAAGTAGAAACAAATACAAAAAATACAGCAAATATACGTTTAATAGTTTAATATCAACTATACGTTCAAGAAGTTTAATAGCGCAAACTACATCATCACAGAATTCTAAAAAATACACAAAGGCGAAATTGCCTTTCTCCAGCAAAATGAAAAATAGAAAATAACAGCTCCAAAAACGACAAAGAAAAATGAACAAAATACTGAAAAATTTCTCAAAATTATGTAAACAACAACAGCCATGAAAACTACAGAATTTGCATATCCCAGAACAAAGAGTCATTTGACTCAACCAACTAGTTTATAGTATTTCCACACACACTTGATTCTTAGATATCAGTCAGCAAAAAATGGGCCTTAATAAAGTGAACTAGCGTGTAACACACCTTCGATGCTTCGAATTTTTGACATCTCATAAAAATCCCATATATTTGAAACAAGATGTGCAGTATTTTAGTGTACTCTGACAGCACCCAATTACAGGCTTAGTTATTTCAAATTTTATAATTTTTTTAAATTCCAATTTTATAAAATCATAAAAGCGTCATATTTCAAAAACTTAAAGGGCTTCTGGAAAAAATTGAAGGCAAGATTCGCAACCCCTGAGAGTACTCTATATCCCCCAAAATATAGGGTTGACAGTTTCAAATTTAACAAAAAATGTTAACTTCAGTTTTCTGAAACCTATTTCAAAAAATCACAAAAAACGTCATATCACGAAAACTATAAAGATTTGAGCAGTCATATTTTGAGGAAAGATTCGCAACACCTGAGAGCACTCTATAGACCCCAACTACAGGGTTCAGAATTTCAAATTTTGAAAATAAATTTTACTAGCGTGTAACGCACCTGCCGTGCTTCGAATTTTTAACAACTCATAAAATCTACAATAAATTCTGCAATAAATTCTTTAACTATGTTCTTTGAAGAATTTTGGAACGAATAATCAACGTCACACATTGGAAATTAATAGAAATTGCGCAGTCACACCTGGACGCAGGATTTGCAACTCCTCAGAGTATTCTTAGAGTACCTAACTACAGGGTTAGGAATTTCAAATTTTGGAAAAAAAATTATTTCAAGCTTTCTGAAATGTTGTAAAAAACCATAAAAAACGACATATCTCGAAACTACCCAGATTTGAGCAGTCATGTTTCAAAGCAAGACTGGCAACCCCTGAGAAAACCCAGACATTCCCAACTACAGGGTTAGGAACTTCAAATTTTGAAGAAAAATAAATTTTTCTGAAACTTTTTAAAAATACCATAAAACGTCATAACTCGAAAACTACCGAGATTTGAGCATTCATA